GATTTAAATACGAATCCTGCATGTTCTGCCTGTCTCCGCTTATGAATGGAACAGATGCGCGGTTTCATTTACTACACATACACTGAAGCACGCCAGACACTCGCGGTGATTTCAGCGTCTGCCATCTCACTAACTGGGGACGTAAACGCATGAATAACATCTCCAGAACTGCTCTGAGAATCACTTCATGAGCATTTTAGTGTTTGATTCGAGTAAAACTAGCGTCATATCTCATACACAGAACGGTAAAGGTATTCTCGGCAACCCGTCAAAATAACAGTCCGGTTTGATTTGAAGACATTGTGCCTATAACTATTTTTCAGTAGAATGTACATAGCCTACTACTGAAACAAACATTATTTTTTAAGGAATAATCACACAGTTCTTCCATGTTTTCATTTTAATAGTAAATCCCCTTTGTTTGCCAAAAAATCTTGTTTGCTTAATTTTCAATAATTAAAAGACAAATGATAAATTAAATTAATTTTATGCCTTCATTTGATAACCAGAAAAAATTTAAATATACAACACAGAATTTTTGAGGGGGAAAAAAATCCATAAGGCTACTTTAAGAAGAAAAATTTATAAATTAAGTTGTTTTATGCATTCAAATAATTAGACATGCTAAAACACAGAATTTGGTAACAATAAAAAATATAAATAATATGGTGAGAAAAAATAAAACATTTCATAGGGCCCTAAACATGTAATTTTTGTTAAACTTTTAATAAATTGATGTGAAAATGTATACGTTTCATGATTTTAATCAATAAGAATAAAATACTATTGTCCCCTATATATTTCAAAGAGGATTTCTTTAAAAAAAGTCTAAAAATTGTGTCACGTTCTCGTGAACCCAGTCTCGTCTCGTGGGATAAGTGTCTCGTCACACCCCTAATATATATATATATATATATATATATATACAGATTATACACACACACAAATATTTCCCTTATGATGCCTTACAATGCAATTCAAGTGGGGTAGCTTGTCACTGAGATTAACTATATTAAATCCTGTATTTACCGCAATGATAACTCTTATACAGTAGCAGACTATATAAGCATTTTAATGAACTTACGGCATATATCATAAATAGCAATTATCAGTCTGGAGTTGTCGCTTTATGGGTAGTGCCAAGGAGAGATGAGCGAATGCCCATTTTCCATCCTGCGCTCTCTCTTTTTCCGCCTGCAGGTCATCCCTTGTTCCCCCACTCTCCCTTGTCTGTCTGCCATTAGCCACGGTCAATTGGATTCCTGTCAGCACTGCCGAACTGCTGCTGGTCTATTTCAAATGGGTGGATGAGCAGAGAGGGGCAACCCTCATACACACACACACACTAAAAGACTCTGAAACACATAGTTCAATGTAAAATGACTAGCACCCAGTGCACTAGGGGCTCAGGGCAAGGGAGGGCATGTCCAACATTAGCATCTTTTTTAACGTTAGTGATGAGGATCACACAGAATGAACCATATGCAGCAGAATGTTCACCTTGACACTTTCACCCGGTCGGTCTGTTATGAGGAAGGCTGCGACAACACTTCAATGTTTTGATGTGTTTGTGTGCCTGCATGCAACTGTGGCTATTTGCTGATAAGACAGAGCTGCCAGCTAAAGGTCAAAAGTCAAATGTAGTAATGAAAGAGTGCTGGTTGCCACAGCAACTCCCATGGTACAGGATTATGGGGTGTGATTCAGAGGTTTGGCAAGGCTTGTGTATCTCTCTTGAGCTTGAGCCTCATAATTAACTGCTGCTTAAAACAAATAACATGCTTTTTGTCTTTTTTTTCCTGCATTTTACAATTAAGGATATATTCCTAGAACAACCTGCAGCTCAGAGCAAGGTGTGAAATCAAATTACCATTACCATTTCACCTAAGAGTCCTGTCCGAATCCTTTTAGTTAAAAAACAAAACAAAAAAACAACAGAACAGTGTGGCCGCACAAATTTGCACAAATGGTCTTTGAAATAAATAATCTACAGTACCTATACAACATTGCCCAAAAAATGCTGCTGACGTAGCTGTTAGAAGCAGTCAATATACGGAGGAGAAGTGAAAGGAGGTGAGGTGAGATCTTCATCCCTCCCTACACAAATTCAATTATTCATAACAGTCTGACTGGCAGGAATGGTCATTTGCTGCTGCAGAAGCATTATTACTTTCTTTTTCTACCCCTTTTTTCATTTAATTCTCTGTATGACTCCCACATTAGTCTGTCTCCTACTCTCTCGTTTTGTCTTTTTTTTCTCTCTTCATTTTTGTCACTTTTCCACCCTAAGAAAGAGAATAGAAAAACGGGGTGAGAAAGTCAGAATGTGTGTGTGTGTGTGTGTGCGCGCAACTTCTGGGAATCAGTGGAGCAGCGGCCAAAAACAATCTCCATCAAAACCTAGACATCCTGTCAATGTCATTCTGCAGAAAAAGCAGTCAGAACTGAAGAGAAAGCACGAGAGAGATGTTATTGAGAGGATGACTAAGCATGTGTGGCTGCAGGTCTGCACGTGTGTGAGAGTTTGGCGTGCAGGAATGTGTGAGTGCATACAGTACTGCAGTAAAGGTGAGTGTGTATGAAGTCCTCTAGCCTCCTGCTCTACTGCTAGTCCCCTGCCACTCCTCAGCATTGATTTAAACAAGCTGCATCTGAGGGCTGAAAACTCACTGACCTGGAAAAGGGCTGAAAGAGGGAGAGAGCGAGGGAGGGACATTCTGTTTGAGGGTGAAGAACGAACAGGGGAGAAAGAGAAGCAGAGGACAGGAAGTGTGGGATACAGAGGAGGACAAAAACATCTGGCTACATACCTTATATTTAAAGTTAACATGAAATAAAAATTGACCCTGTTTACTTTCTTAAAGGGGTCATATGATACGATTTCAATTTTTCCTTTCTCTTTGAGTCCAGCCCAGGGTCGTCACGTGGTTGCCGCAAGCCCGCTGGCCTCCGCTCACTCTAGCCCGCCGTGTGTTTCGTTGTAAAAGCAAAACTACTTTGTTTGGTCTTCCAAAAGAGGACACGACTAGAAATCAGTGGTTAAGTTATATTTACAGCACTGTTCCAAAACAGTTCAACCCAAATATCCATTTTTGTGCAGCACATTTTATGGAGGACTGTTTCCTGATCCTGGTAGAGTAGACTACAATGCCGGCTGTTCTGACTCACAGTCTGTAAGTACGTTTTAATTTAAAGGATTTGCCACTGATGATTCAAACACGAGTTTTAAGGAGTGTAGAGTAGCGCTTGTTTGTCATTTCTCCGATCACAAATGCAAACATGGTTTTATGTTTAAGCGGCGCGATGCAACGCAACGCGTAAAAAGACAGTATAAATCATTATAATCCGTAATTATGTCCCCACTGGATGCAACAAATGCCTCGTTTATAATGGGTTTTAATGTTTTTGAATCGTCGCTCAAGCCGGGACACGCCATCACAGTATGGTAAGGGGCGTAACATTTCTGTCACACGCTTGAGGTATTCGGCCAATCACAACGCACTGGATAGCTGGCCAATCAGAGCACACCTCGCTTTTCAGAACGATGCGTTTCAGAAAGGCGGGGCATAGAGGAGAAACAATAATGTACAGTATGTGGAAAATAATGTGTTTTTTTTTTACTTTAAACCGCATAAACCCATTTTATTACACCAAATACACAAAATAATGTTCTTTTTAGCAGCATATGACCCCTTTAAACTAAAAAATGAAAGTTAATAAACACAAGAGCACATATTAATTGCATCATATTTTGATTACCCCATTACTGCTAACATAAAATACACTTGTAGGTTTAAAATTGTACATATGACATTCAATTGTAATACGCTCTGTCTGCAATGCTTGTTCACTGAAGTCTGTGAAGTTTCACATGCAGAAGGCTCCGGCAAAACTGAAATATTTACATGACTTCCTAACATTAACAGACGTAGAATTTACCTGCAAAATGTAAGTTACGCACTAAAGGAAAACAGAACATCTCAAATACATTAGACAGCACAAGTAGCGTCTCTGTCAGGAGCATCTTGCAAATTATTTTATAGCCCTTAATATAAAGCATGTCTCATGTTTAGGACAAATTGGATGATGCACTTTCTCGCAGCAGCTCACTCTGTGCTATTACTCAGATGCGCTCATATTAAACTACTGTACAGTATATCGATATTGTATCGTCTCATACCATATCGCTTATAAAAACAACTCAATATACCGGCCAGCCCTAAAATCAAGAATTGTCTTTTAAAATGACTGCCTGCACCTTTCATGCTTCATTTTTCAGACTGCTGATTTGGGTCAATTGCAACCCCTATCGAGCTCTCTGTTGCCTTGTTTCACAGTGAGTCTAAAAACTCATCAAGTCTGACTGAGTACAGTGCAGGCTGCACAGTTCCACGTCCCTCGATGCACCATGGACAGGTTTCAATGATGCACCACAGGAGTGCATTATCATGCATCTGATGGCAAACCCACCGTCAGCTCATTCCCCAAATTTCAGCATTTCCATCATGAAATCATTTAAAATAATAAAGGCGACGAGATTCGTCTCATCATTGTAGCAGCCAAGTGGAAAATAACTTTGCATTTCAAATGGCTTTTCATAAAGGAGACAGGCAGCTTCTCTTTTGTCAGATTAGTGCACTAGAACCTTCAGAATGGGAATGAAGGGAGTGTGTGAAAGCCCGTACACACAATCACATTCAATGATGCTCAGTCTCCATTTGTGTAACCTGCACATATCGTTCGAGAGTGAGCAATATTTGGCCATTAATTACCCAGTATTCTCTCATGATATCTCTCACTTATGATAGCTCCTCCTGTCTGAGTAGGTCAGGGCTTGTGGGCCAAAAGGGATGAAGGCTTGGAGGAGAAAGAACCAGATTATTCCCTGCAAAGCTGCAGATCATGCAAACACGAGCCGGTCTCAACCTGGCACTGACACGACTCCATTTCATAAGGTATAGCGGCTGTGATTATGATCTGATTCAGAGTGGGCGGCTTACCATGAACATGGCTCTGAAGTTGCTGAGGTCAGTGAAGAGTTCCTCCACAGAGGTCTTCTTGGGGTCGATGGTGAAATACTCCAGCATGTTGAGATAAAGGGTCACCATATTACTGTGCATGATCACCAGCTTCTGGTACTGATCTCTCGCCTGCGTGGAGAAACTGTGAGGAATCATCGTCAAGGACAAGAATCTAGTATTGGAAAGTGAAACATAAGTTCATTAAACCAGCAGTGATTTATACTATTGTTATTTAACTTTCAAGTTCATTAGTGCAGTGCGCACTTTCATTTCAAAAAGGAAAATTGTTCATCTTTATTTCATTCTAACAGGTTACCCCTTGGTAAGGATACTGTTAAGTCCCAAAAATTGTTTCTGCTCAGAAGGAACCAAAATGAAAACAATTCATTTTTAATCCCTGATCGCATCACTACGCACCCATAATGTAACACTTGCTACAGAGCTGTGAAACCAGCACATGCAAAAAACCAAGACACATATACAGCGATAAATAGATAAATAGTCCACACAGAAAAGTCCAGTTCATTTTAATTATGGTTAAACTGCTGCACTTGCACAGAGCCGAGCACTGTATCCATGACTGCTCTTTAGCCAATTAAAACTGTGTCTATGTGTACAGTAGGAACCAATGCAAAACAAGTAATTTATTGGGAAAGAATGTATACACAGGCATTTTGTTCATCAACAAACATAATTATAGACGGTTAAAAAGTACTTCCAGTGAATACAGACAGCCATTTAAACTAGTGTTTATGTTCCACACTCACTGCATTTAGATCTAATGGCAGTATGTGGGCTGCAAATCTCTGCAAAGCCTGTTTTTATGGTGACCCTTATGGCCACACTGAAAACCTACAAATTCATTCAGATCTTAGAAACTTTTCACTTTCTGAAGATAACAGGAGTAGTGCTTTGTGCAAACCTCACCACCACAATATCAACATGATTGCCTACTGGTTCAAGGTCCATCCACCTCTATGATTTAAATTTTTTTCAAAGCGACTTAGCGACATTGAATTCAAGGAATACATCAGTTAATGCTTTTTTTTTTTAGAAATCGAAGCCATTACCTTGGCGTCGCTATTGCCATGCTAATGCTATATTGTTTGAGCTGCAGGAATAATATTCTAGTCTGGTAAATATTGCTCAGGTTCTTCAATGCAGATCTATGGAACATGCATAAGCACACTGAAATATCACATACTTTGAACATAGATCTGGTGTGAAAAAAAGGAAATGGGCGATAATCTTTGATGAAGATCAAAGTTTCCCTTTTGGAATGGAAAGTAAAACCATCTACATCAGCAGACAAAGAAAGAAACAAAGGCCAAAAGGAAAATATTTATATACATACAAAACAGCAATAATATACACAATGGCCTGAAGAATATGTGTGTTCATTCAAAGAAAGGTTTTCCTATGAATTAATTAGTAGAAAAGTCCATTCCTTGTGGATTTTCCTTATGGGGACAATGAGTGGGTTATCCCACTCACATTCCTGGGGGGTCATAAAACCAGTGATGATATGATTAGTTGTCATGGTGACCAGAGGGCCTGGTGTTCAGCAGAAATCCTGGCATCCAGTTTATTGAGTGAGGGGACTGTGACGATTTGTTAATCTAATGAATAATTGATTTGTTAAATCAAATTAAAATTAGTGTGTCAGATTGGTCGAGACGCTACACATCCATAAGCACACTTGGGTTTAGACAGACTTTTTGTTATAGTATATAAAAAGAAAATAGCTTAAATATTCGGATTATTTACTGCTATATGAATGAAGTGTTTCAACTAGGATCTACAGATATAAAAGCACAACTGACCTACAACCCACACATCACACACTGAGCCACATCAAATGTCTATAACATATGATTTCTCACATATACACATGCACACACTCTGACATGAAAGAGAGGGAATCTGGGTCTAATCCTTGCTGTCAGGACAGAAATGCCTATGCAAAGATGGCAAGCTTTACTCCAAATATCATAGTAATATTTTGACTTTGATGTGGTTTTAATTAGTAATCCTGTTTGAAGCTGATGCTTCACATCACACTTAAAAAAAAAAAAAAAAAACTTGTGTTAAAACTTTGGATCAACGTCCAAAAAGGGTTCTCTGTTATACCGGCATTAGCTTCACAGTGTATGTGTGTCTGTGTTTATGAGCTGGCCGCAGGGTGAACTGTTCAGTAGGTTGTGCTCTCAGATTGACTTGTGAACGGCACCACGACAGCACAGTCACACTACAAACAGATCTGAAGTTAAGTGACAATCTCTCCAGCTGTCATTCTCCTGTCTTTCTTAAGTTAAAACCTACAAAATGCTTTAGGGTATTCTGCTCACTCGCTATAAATAACAGTGCATCTGATTTATCAAAGCTGCCTTCATCTTCAGCTCATATGTTAGGACAGTAGATCTCATCTGAGTTTGCTTGAAGACTACCATTTATATGAAACATTGACTACGTTTACATGTGCACCAATAATGCAGAGTGAGGACTTAAATTAAGATGTTTACAAGACACTAGCAAACCTCTTCACTCCTGTTTACATGCAATTTTCATTATTCTGATTATAAAAGTAAGTAGTGGTGAGGGGATGCTTGAACTCAAACACCTTTGATAGGCCACTACGTTTAAGAAATCAATAGATATGTCTGTGATTGGCTACAATGCTCAACGCTGCGAAAACACGTAACTAGAAACCTTTGAAGCTCTCCTGAGTGCAAGCACAAATATGCATTAGAGCATTTCCTACTTTTGCAGGCTCAACTGAGAGTGCTTTTTGCTTTCGTTTCATTCATGAAATTGTGTGAAGAATACGCAGCATCCATGTGCGTCTGAGCACTTGCACACTTCGGCCAAAGCTGTAATAATGCGTTTAGGGCATTTACATGCCTGTTTATTGCAATTAAAATCGACATATGCCACATAGTTTTATGCGATAATGGTTACTAAGATTATGAGCTTAATCGCATTATTTTGACGTATTGACGTACTTTACATGCGGTCAAGTTTAAATCGCAATAATGCCAAAATCCCAATATAATTACATTATGAGTGCATGTAAACATATTCATTGAGCATGCTACCCACACAATAACATTTTTTAATTCATAAACAAAAATATATGTACATATAGTATATAATTTTTTATGTTTTTAAATGGAGTTATTTTATTTTAAGGCCATTATTATTCAAGTGTATATTCTCTTCAAATGTGTGGAGTCTGCAAAATTGTTTTAATGTTTTAGATATTAGTCTTTTATCACCAAGGCTGCATTTATTTGACAAAAAATAAGAAATACAGAACCAGAAATTTAAAAAATAAATACTGTGGAGAATTGAGGAGAATTTAACATAACTTTGTTTTCTATTTTAATATATTTGAATTTATTCCTGTGATGGCAATGCTGAATTTTCAGCAGTCTTCAGTGTCACATGATCCTTCAGAAATCATTCTAGTATCCTCATTTTCTTTTTTATCTATGTTAAAAACAGTTGTGCTGCTTAATATTTCTGTATAAACCATGACACATTTTTTTCAAGTTGATTTGATTAATAAAACGTTGAAAAGAACAGCATTTACTTGACATTTTCTATATTGTTAGGACATAACGTCAATGCTGTTTTATATGCATTAGTATGCAAGTGGTTGTGCTGAATCAAGCGAAATATCCGCTGTTTGGTAACTACTGTCCTAGACGGCAACAGTTTGCTTGCAAGCTCACCTGAACCTGACTTGAATAATCAGGTATTCCTAGGCAAGGAAAAGTGACTATTAGCCAGAAATCTGCTAACATGTGAACATCTAGAAACTGGACAGAGCTACTTTAACCCACACATTTCACTCCAGGACTCAGTATAACAGGTACTCCATGACTTATTCATGATGAAGACGCTATAAGGGAGGGCAGACAGGCTGGCCAGCGATGCTTGTTCAGCATACATGTGAAATGTTTAGAGAGTTCTTCCAGCTGCATATGCACACAGAATTGTTTTGTGCATCTCCTCTGCTGTCTTTTATACTGCGAGTTCATTCACGCCCTCCAAGCACACCTGCTTTGCTCTCTGATTAGAGAAAGAATGGAGCGCAGGGGACGTGATCAGCTAATGAAAGGACAGACGGTGTATGAAAGCGAGAGATAAGACTTCATTAACTTTAATACTGATCTGGTTGCTGGTGCTAAGAGCTCAGAGGACAGAAAAGGGCCCACGCCGTGTGGAGCTGAGCGGTGTTAACGCTGACAGAGGAAAGCGAGAGGAAGGTGGACTCTGGGTTTTTGCTCTAAATGACAGAGAGCTAAACTAAATAAAGAGAGAGAGGCTGACCCTTGAACACGAGCTCTGTGCAGAGGGATAGAAAAGCATTGATTTTCTCCTGTACACCTGAGCTTGTTAGTCACGCTCATACTGTACACTCACACATAACACCTCTAAGACACACTATTAACAAACACTCCATAATACCTGGAACACACACATACACACAATATGGATAAAAGTAAAAAGCTACATGCATACTAACAGGTGTACTAAATGAATCATACTGCAGGGATGCAAACGCATTATGGGTGAAAAAGGTGACAAAGACACGCAACCCCCCTCCAAATTTTTTTGGAAATGATGGAAAAAATGTGCCAAAAAAAACCTTGTGGAAAACAAAGACTTTTGAGATGACAATTACATGAAATTACCATTAGATCCAGTAGACGGCAGCAGAGGATCACTCAATAGCTCAGTTGCCATTTCCACTCCCTAGTTTTCAGGTCTTGATTTTGAATTTATTATAAAATGATTATAACAAATTTTAGTACTGTACTGTACTAGTATAGCAAGTACAATTAAATAATAATGCATTAAATGTTTTGAAGTATTTTTTTAGATTTAATTTAAAAACTAAATTTTTTTAAACACTGCCTTAAAAAGGACACATCAAAAATACTTCTTTAACTGTAGAAGCTGCTAAATATATTCAGCCAACACAGACTTGTTGCTGTTGTAGTTTTGTTACTCTGAATTTACTCTGCATCACTTAATGCATAGGTCTATTTTTGACAGATAGATCGTTCCGCCCAGGGGAGTTATCACTGTCAATCATAGCAATTCATGACGAAACAATTTAGCGGATTCACTCGCGTACTTTTTTACACTCGCGTTTGTCATTCTTGAAACCGTATACGTGGACGTTCGGGTCCTCTTAGACGAACAAAACTTTTCTTCAAATTGTCAATGGATTATGTAGAGATTCTAGAGAAACAAAGCAAAGCTCTTATAGAGCAACTGAACGAGCTTACTCGCGCAAAAACTCCTGATAAATCAATGACTACACAATCAATCTCTTATTTACACTGTGTATGCGTTTTTTCTCTCTCTGATTAGATTAGGTAGATCTACAAGCGTATAGAACTCTGTAAACTTACGAAAACAAAAATTAGTTCAGAGGGGATTTTTCTGGTTAACCTACAGAAAACACCTCTGACTGGCCATTGCTTTCAACAGAGATGCCTGTGATTGGCTACAATACTCAACGCTGCAAAAACATGTAAATAAACTTGTGGTTTTGTAATTCGAAACAAGAGAGTGCACGCAAAAACACACAGGAAGGAGCGTTTAAAAGTGGTTGACTACAAGCGGGTACAGATATAAATTGGTAATAATGGTACTGTAAAAAGTACAAATCTCGCAGGTGACCTATTTTGATCTCAAAAAGGTGAGTCTTCACCGAAAGGTGAGGAATTTGCATCTATGAGACTGTCATGCAATCTCCATGCAGACATTTACAGTTAAAAAGGCCACAACAAAACACCTTCATGTACTATCATTTTGAAATTAAGTGTATAGGGCCCTAAACTCCTCAGAAAACATGGACAAATTTTGGATGGATGCATCAAAAGTAGGTAAACTTCACTTGAATCAAAACACGATTTGTACTAGTGCCTGTGAATATTAAGCTGCAAAAAGAGCATTTAAATATGAATCCTGCTTGTTCTGTGTGTCTATGAATCGTTTCATTTACTACACACATATTGAAGCACACGTGACGCTTGCGGTGTTTTGAGCCTCTGCCGCCTCAATATATGAGCACATGAACACAATCTCTAGAGTCACTTGTAGCGTTTGGACCAATCAAACACACAATTTTTCATTTGATTTAACAAATCAGTTCTTCATTAGATTAACAAATCGCCACAGTCCCCTCACCCAATAAACTGGATGCCAGGATGTCTGCAAAGGACACCAAACCATGGCAACCCTGACACCAGATACTTTTACGACCTCATGGAATGTGAGCAGGGAAAAGCACTGTCTTTTCATAAGGAAAATTCCCAAGGCACAGTAGGAATGGACTTTTCTAATTAATTCATAGGAAAACTTTTATTTGAATGAACACACATAGCCTTCAGGTCCTTGGGTATATTATTGCTGTCTTGTATATTATCTGTTGTATTGTAGACTATTTTATGCAAGTTTAGGATAGAACCACTCATCCATGTAACCCTACATATAACGTGTTTGGTCTCTATTCATTCGTATTCGGATGATCTAATTCAGAGTGTATATTGTATGTTTACACCTACGCAACATATTAGTGTTTAAGGTATATTTGCATAGATTTTTCTTATACATGGCTTGTCAAGATCCAAAAAAGACAAAAGGCACCATAAAAGCATAGTAACCAAGTAGACCATACAACTATTTCAGGTCTTTTGATGCGCACCATTCATTCTTTTATTTTATTTATTCATTTTATTTATTTATTAATTTTTGTAACGTGTTTGAAAACTTACAAAGTCCTAAGGGTCAAAGATGAAAAATGGCGTTTTGAAACATCAAAACTAATAAAAAGTTTACTACAGATATTTTTTTTTACATTAGAATGTGTTCTGTTTAAAAAAAATAAAACGATTAACATTACTTACAGAACACACCAACTAAAAGTTAGGGTTACCATTCAGTGTAACCCTAACACTACTTTAAATATCAAAAAAGAAAAAAGAAAAAAAAAAAATTATTATTTAGAACAAGAATCCTTAATGACATTAAAAAAAACTTTTTTTTAAAGGTCCCATCGTTTAACCACAGCTGTCGTCAGTTTTTTGTCTGGCAGTGGCAGCAGATATGCGATCAAATTTCTAATTTGAGGCTGTATTATGTCGATTCTGGCACCCAACATCACAACAAGATGATATTTTAAGCTCCTTAGCCGAATCTGCGCTGGGTTTGAATGGGCCGAATGTTTTGCTGCCTCCAGCTAGCGCTGTGATGTCGGCTGACCCTAGTTACCTGTGGTTGGCCTGGCCATGCGTCACTCAGAAAACAACAGGCCAATCAGAAGAGAGGCTCATGAATATTAATTAGACAGGCCAAAATCGACCTGTTCTCAGCAGAGCTCCTGAGAAAGGAGCTGTAAAAATATATTGAGATGGTTTTTGGTACTTGTACCGCAAATATATATTCTTAATGACATCAAAACCTAAAATAAAACTCCAGAAAGGTGTAAAATATGGGACCTTTAATGTAATGATAGTACTACTGCTACTAATACAATTATTGTTAAAACTATTTTTAAAGGAATATTTAGCAGAACAATTATTTACCAAAATGTATTTAGCAGAAAAACGTAAATACACAAGACAGTATTTCTGAAAAAATTTAATAAAATGTAACCATTAAAACAGAGTCTAGAAAGATTAAAATGGAATACTGAAAAATGAAAATGGAAAAAAAAAAGAATTTGGAAAAAAAAAAAAAAATGAAACTGAATTTGGGAAAAAAATTTAATGGATTTCATAAGGCCCTAAGTGTTCAACAAGCACATATGGATGTAGTATGGGTGTCAATTAATTTAAATGCTACACATACAATTAGGCATAATAACATTATTATACACAATATGAAAATAATTTATTTTGAGATTTGCAAAAAAAACTGCATTAAATTATTGGTGTTTTTTAATAAAAAAATAGCAAAGGTAAACTAAATGTGAAAAATAACGGAAATTAGCAGCACAATTAAATATCTGTATAGTATAATATAAATATTAAGTATATTGACCTCCAATATCACAATATCAGTCATTGTGTTACCATAAGACCATATCATGGATCCCTAATATTTACGTACATAACTAAAAACGTGCACATTCAACATCGACTCCCAGTGTAAGAGACCAACGCAAAAACTTGGTTTGTAATAGCTATCTGGAAACCTAATAAAGCTGCTCACTAAGAAAACATATTTTTGCCATCATCAATGTGTCCATATTTTAAAATCAATACCCAAAAATGCTGTCTAGCAGGGTAGCTCACTAAGATTTTAGTCAAAGCATTCATAAAACATCTCAGCAGGAATGAGGTACTAAATGTAGCTATTAAATAATAAATAATAAAAATTAAAGAAAAAACTAAGAATAAAAACAAAAGAAAAGAAAAGTTAAATACTATAGCATACAAAAACAAAAAGGCAAAAAAGTTAATAGAAAATGTGCTGCATAAAATAATTAGGAAAAAAAAGTGTGTGGAAGGGTGGAAGACAGTCCACTATGTGGCTGGTGAGTAAGATAATAACCTCCCTTGGTAGAGTCTAGCCAGGACACCGTGAAGGGTAGAGCAAGTCGGGTCAGACCCAGAACTGCAGGCATTCATTGGATCATGAGCACCACACTAAAGTATTAAAGTAAAAAAAGAAAGAAAAGCATTTGTTTTTGTCCATAAAACAGCAAGCATAAAAGTAAAACAATAAAAATAAAATGCTCGGTAAGTAAAAAACATGAATAATGAAGCTACCCAAGACTACCTGCTCCACCGAACTATACAAAATGCATGAGAAGAAAGGTTCGTTGAGGATTATTGGGTATATGTTTTGTTCAGCGTTTAGTTCGTGCCCCTGGTATCTCCCCTGGCAACACGTCTGGCTTTCAAATGTTTGCCATTTGCAGAGGAGACAGCATCCAGACCGCAGGGAACGGTTTCGAGTGCAATGACAGACAGCTGGGAAAAGAACTAACAAGCAAGTACAGGAATGTACGACTCCATTATCAAACTGTCTTCGGTTTCACATGCAGCCCGGTGAAGTTTAATATAAATAATTAATTCACACACGCAGACATAAACTCTGATTAGTGTTTGTGAAAGTGTGTGAGGTTGAAGGGTGCTAGAGAACGTGTCGCCACCACGCACAGAAGAAATAACAATGTCGATAGCAAAACAGCAATGAATAAAAGTGTTTAGACAAAAAATAAGGAAACAAAAATGTACAGTGTGGGTGCGCATGCAAACGTGTGAAAGGATATTGCCATCTTGCTGAGGAACAGGTCCTGCTGGTCGTCTGTGGAGCTGAAAGTGTCCAGATCCTTCTCCAACTGCAGCAGGTGTTTCTCCATCTGTCTCAAGCTCTTCTCAAGGTTTTCTGCTGATACTAGACACACACAGATACAGATTTAAAACAATGCACTGTGTAGGATATCAGACCGAATCAGACAATCTAAGATTTGGTCAGAACCGAGCTTATTTATATGGAAAAGAGAAGTATCTTGTGTTTTGTGCTCACAAGTTAATGTCTTAAACTGCCGATCTTGTTACTATGCTAATTAATAGTGTTTTCACTATATTTTGGATATTGATATCCATTGCAGAATTGATGTCATACGGCTCGTTCACTGAATCGCAGGCCGTCTCAGTGATCCGCCGTAAAACAGTGATTCTGTCCTAATTCCCTTGCATATTAATGGTGGAGTTCCCTTTAAAATCTTAAATGATTCCCTTTGAGCTAAATTATTAAATTATCACTGTTTACAATACAACTGACACGCTTTGCTTATAGCAGATCCAAAATACATGTTTCCAGACGACAAACATGCCTCAAAAACTAAGTTCTTTTGGACAGAGAGATTCACTGGATTTCAGAGCTATAACAGAAAGGAATATTTTCAACATAAATTTCAGTCTGTTCCTCACACAAAGCTGTCGTATGCCGTATGGCTTCAGAAGACTCTGCAGTTGTATGGACCCGTTACGATGCGTTTTTCATCCTTTTTATAGCTTGACAGCAAACCCTTCCTTCCTATATTATATGTATAATCGTCTTCTTAAATTCATTTTAAACCTCTTAAATCAATTTTTTTTTTCAAAGTTTTTAAATTCCTTGTTTTATTGTTGTGATTATTGTTTTTATTTTATTTTATGTAAAGCACTTTGAATTACCATTGTGTATGAAATGTGCTATACAAATAAACTTGCCTTGCCTTGCCTTCCTTAAAAAAAAACTAGTAAGAGTTTGTCTACTCTCTCACAAGCAGTGTGAGGGGCTTTAACAGTCAAAATGTTTAATCATTTATAACTCTTTATAAACTTTAATGTATAAGACTTTAAAAACTAATAAAAATAATGATTAATGCCAATGAGACCTCAAAGCATTTTATTGTCATTTGTTTGGCATTTTTGTTATACATGTAAACCAGCTGTTATATTTTGTTTTTGTTT